GGTGGCGGCTGGCGGGGGCTCCTGGAGGCTGATGGCGGCTGGCGGGGGCTCCTGGAGGCTGGTGGCGGCTGGCGGGGGCTCCTGGAGGCTGGTGGCGGCTGGCGGGGGCTCCTGGAGGCTGGTGGCGGCTGGCGGGGGCTCCTGGAGGCTGATGGCGGCTGGCGGGGGCTCCTGGAGGCTGGTGGCGGCTGGCGGGGGCTCCTGGAGGCTGGTGGCGGCTGGCGGGGGCTCCTGGAGGCTGGTGGCGGCTGGCGGGGGCTCCTGAAGGCTGGTGGCGGCTGGCGGGGAGCTCCTGGAGGCTGGTGGCGGCTGGTGGGGGCTTCTGGAGGCTGGTGGCGGCCGGCGGGGGCTCCTGGAGGCTGGTGGCGGTTGGCGGGGAGCTCCTGGAGGCTGGTGGCGGCTGGCGGGGGCTCCTGGAGGCTGGTGGCGGCTGGCGGGGGCTCCTGGAGGCTGGTGGCGGCTGGCGGGGGCTCCTGGAGGCTGATGGCGGCTGGCGGGGGGCTCCTGGAGGCTACTGGAGGCTGGTGGCGGCTGGCGGGGGCTCCTGGAGGCTACTGGAGGCTGGTGGCGGCTGGCGGGGGCTCCTGGAGGCTAGCGGGGGCTCCTGGAGGCTGGCGGGGGCTCCTGGAGGCTACTGGAGGCTGGTGGCGGCTAGCGGGGGCTCCTGGAGGCTACTGGAGGCTGGTGGCGGCTGGCGGGGGCTCCTGGAGGCTGGTGGCGGCTGGCGGAGGCTCCTGGAGGCTGGTGGCGGCTGGCGGGGGCTCCTAGAGGCTACTGGAGGCTGGTGGCGGCTGGCGGGGGCTCCTGGAGGCTACTGGAGGCTGGTGGCGGCTGGCGGGGGCTCCTGGAGGCTACTGGAGGCTGGTGGCGGCTGGCTGGGGCTCCTGGAGGCTGGCGGGGGCTCCTGGAGGCTACTGGAGGCTGGTGGCGGCTGGCGGGGGCTCCTGGAGGCTGGCGGGGCTGGCATTGTGTAGCCTAGTCTGGTGCCCCCACCCCATGCAGGTGGGGAGCTGGGTTATGCTAATATATGTATGAATGTAAATCCCCAGAGTGAAACTAAGAGGGAACATAACTTTTTTGATATTTCGATTTGTTGAAATTTTCGTCGCTATGGTGGATTTGTTGACGTTTTCGGCTCTGATGAATTTGGTGACGTTTTCGAGGCTATATGGTAGATTTGTTGACGTTTTCGAGGCTATATGGTAGATTTGGTGACGTTTTCGAGGCTATATGGTAGATTTGTTGACGTTTTCGAGGCTATATGGTAGATTTGTTGACGTTTTCGAGGCTATATGCTAGGTTTGTTAACGTTTTCGAGGGGACCGTCGTTCTACCGCCCAACCCAAGTGGTTGAACAATGTAGGACTGAGAAAATAGGAGATGCTTTTTCACCCACGGGGTTCTAAATCCATGGAACAGCCTACCCGCCGAAGTTATAAATGTCAAAACACTGATGAATTTCAAAATCCAGCGGGATAAAATCATGACACGAATTGGGAGGACCTTTGACAAGCCACTGACTTCCTGTCTTCGTCAATGTCATGTCACCAGTTTCGTTAAATTTCATCCTCGCAAACGTGTACGAAACTGCTCGCGGATATGTCAATAAATTCATATTAGTTCTTTGACTAAAGTATTCGCGCTCTTTCTTATTCATTCGCTGTCTCACGGCAGACTCGTGTTATTTCCCGCGAGATTCGCAGATGTATTGCCGGAACAACCGGTGACATCTTCAAGAGAGAACAAGTTTTCTTCAAGGAGTGCCGGACCAACCGGGCTGTGGTGGGTATGTGGGCCTGCGGGCCGCTCCAAGCAACAGCCTGGTGGACCAAACTCTCACAAGTCAAGCCTGGCCTTGGGGAGTTGAACTCCCAGAACCCCCATCAAGCAGCCCATGAACTCGGGCACGGAGAGCCTGCTTCTCACAGCCCTCCTCCACCGTGATGACTTGAGGCTTCTGGCAATAGTTGTGTTATCTTGAGATAGGTTATCTTGAGATGATTTCGGGGCTTTAGTGTCCCCGCGGCCCGGTCCTCGACCAGGCCTCCACCCCCAGGAAGCAGCCCGTGACAGCTGACTAACTCCCAGGTACCTATTTACTGCTAGGTAACAGGGGCATTCAGGGTGAAAGAAACTTTGCCCATTTGTTTCTGCCTCGTGCGGGAATCGAACCCGCGCCACAGAATTACGAGTCCTGCGCGCTATCCACCAGGCTACGAGGCCCCTTGTGTGTGTGTAGTTTGCGTGACGGGTGACAGGGTGACGGGACGCCCTGGCGGCTCCAGGTTAATACTAACCCATAAAGTCAGCTGTAAAAAGTGTGTGTGTAACGTGACTGTGGTTCCCATAATTTCCCCCCACGGTCACATGTTGTGAGTACGAGGGAGAGTTACGGGCCAGGGAAAGTTGTGGAGGTGTTGGTAATATAGTGTGACGGGCGGACTGTCCGCCTTGCTCACACGATGTGTGTGAGTGTGTTTGCACGCTAATTTATCTGTTGCGAGGCAACGGCGAGTGTTTGGAAGTTTTTCACAAGTATTTCAGAGTAATTTCAAGGCCAGTACCTTCACACCCTCTTGAGCGCCCCTAGTTAAGCTGAAATTAAAAAATAATTGAAAATAAATTTTGTATTTTTTCTTCTTCAAAACAACAAGTTAAGGGTCCTCTGGTAGGTTAGGAGGGCAGGAAGTTCTCCTAAGATCTCAAAACGTCATTAATTGAAAGTTTCCTCTCCTAACCTAACAGCCTAAACCAGAGGACCCAAAACAGAAAACGGAACAGTACGTCCCTTTCGTGAGCCATTTTCATTTTGAATTACGTCGATTTTTAGCCTGAGAGGTTCCGGGACGTCGGAGACTCGGGGGGGTTGGGGGGGGGGGAAGGATTTAAGCATCTTTCTTCAACTATCACTGCAGTGCGCAAATGATATCAAATCCATTATCCTTAAGCTAGGGGGGCCACTCTCTTATTTTCAGATTAGGTCGAAACATACTAATATGCAGCTCAAAGAATCAGAGTCAATTTCCTGTTTTCTTCCCCTGTTGTTGTGTTGGATGTGTTGCAGCGTGCGGACATGCCAGGCGTACCGTGGCTGGCCAGCGAGGACCTGGAGGAGGAAACACTCTAAAATGGAGTGAGCGGCCTTGTATCCGCTGAGGCCGGTTGAGACACGTCCAGCCCAACCACTGAGGCCGGTTGAGACGCGTCCAGCCCAACCACTGAGGCCGGTTGAGACACGTCCAGCCCAACCACTGAGGCCGGTTGAGACGCGTCCAGCCCAACCACTGAGGCCGGTTGAGACGCGTCCAGCCCAACCACTGAGGCCGGTTGAGACGCGTCCAGCCCAACCACTGAGGCCGGTTGAGACACGTCCAGCCCAACCACTGAGGCCGGTTGAGACACGTCCATCCGTACTGGTGACACGGGGACCTCCCTGGACTTGAGGGGTACTCCTGCCTCACACCATCGCTGCGCACATCATAGCCTTCAGTGCCTGCTGTCTCTGGCTTCAGCTGTTGTGTCAAGCTACGTGCAGCTGAGCGTAACGCATGTATCAAACGTATATCACGTGTATCACGGATGTATCACGTACAGCTGGGTCTATCACGTGCTTCAGTATACATGACGTGTATAAAGTTCGCAACTGTGTCTAGATATTGATACGTGCAATGAAAAAGCGACGTGAGAGGGTCGGGTCATTCCGGAAGCTCCCCTCCTTAATACCCGCCAGACCTCAGCCAGGGACGTCCATGTAACAGCTGACTATTTTCCTGCATGCGTTTCTCATGCTATTAGCGTGAGCAAATCTGCGAGGAAACTTCAGAGTGAGAGTTAACCTTGCGACAGTTGCAAGGCGATACCTGGAGGACATCACACTTCCTGATGTCACTATTTCTCAAGGTGGTGTTGGACACACTGTGCCTGGCTCCACTCTCAGGGCGGCTCTCTCTCTCTCCTTGTACGAATTCAACAAGAACCCAACATCACTAAGCGTCTTTGCAGATAAATTGAGCTTCATGATACACTCGGTTTGGCTGGTCCAGGTCCCTTCATGAGCTTTCACAGCTACGTTTATCGGCAGATTGTGCGGTGGCTTTCTCGCGAGCTGCGTTTATTGTTTGGGCTGATTGATGATAATTGGAAGTGATCATTGTAAGTGTGCGCAGACCGTTCACCGCTCGGCGTCTTGGATGCCTCTGTGTGTGTGTGTGAGCCGCAACGAGATGTCTTTGTGAGTGGGTGAATAAGTGAGCCAGTGAGTTGAGTAAGTGGGTGAGTGATGATTGGTGAGGAAGGCTCGTTGGCTGTGGTCACTGGAGAAGGTGGCGTGGCTGGTGGGTTCCTTCCGGGGCCCTGACTCACCCTACAGGTATTGCCTACCTCTCCGGCTCCCTGGAACCCGCCTCCTTCTTATTCAACACCATCGTGTCAGCCTCTGCGGCAGGGCTGTATGCTGGCCTGTCTTCCTCCCCCTTGCTGCGTTCCTCCAGCGGGATCACTGTTTATAGTGATGGTCCAGATTAGGGAAAACTGAGAATTACATTTGACTGGAAATGATATTAATCTCAATCTCTCTCTCTCACACCTCCTTTCTCTGGTATAAACAAGGGTTTCCTTGCTTTTACTGTAGGGATGGGAAGACCATCCTTCATCGAGTTGATGATTACTGGGTTTGGTGTTTTAAATGTTCGTCCTTGTGTCTAGCATGTGGGGGAAGGATGTGGCAGTAGTGGTAGTGGTACTAAGTAAAGTAGTAGTATTGTCAGTAAGAGTGGAAGTAACATCAGCAGATTGAGGATTTCTCCCGTCTCCTGCGGGGTTTTAATATATATAAGAACACTGCTATTTGTCTGCTAAGAGGCGTCTTAGAACCTGCTAAGAGTTTTAGGGCATCGAGCAGATGGTAAAGATCCTTTTTCCTTACGTGGTGTGTATTATAAGAATGTTACAGGGAGCCTTACATAACATGGCGTGTGTACTAACTATACCCAATGTTGCAGGGAGCCGGGCGGAGGACGGAGTGCCAGACATGACAGTCCTGTCGGACATCGACGAGACGGCCATCAACCACAACCTCCGCGTCAGATACCTTCACGACCGCATCTACGTATCCTTTTGTCTGGCCGTCAAGCCGTTCCCCGGAGGCTAGGCTACAACACTTCCCGGAGGCTAGGCTACTGCTGCCTCGCGGCTAAAGTTTTCACCCAACCTTAAGCTTATTAGGCTTTCATTGGCCTTCTGTCTAAGGGCCAATGTACCACCGCTGATGAATAACTTCATCAGCGGTGGTACTAAGTTATTTATTTATGCAAAGTTATTATTAGTTTCATTATTAGACAGTTTGGTGTTGGGTTCAAGATATATCAACCGCTGGAGGGTTAGAATAATGGCCTTAACAACCCTCCAGAGATTGACCTTAATAACCCTAATAACCCCTAAGTATATAGCTTAATTCAGGCTTAAAGTAAACTTAGTGTACCGGTATATATACACCTAGAAGCGAAATACACCTCTCAGTATATGTATTACTGTTTTTTTTCATTAATAGTGGTAGTAGTAATATTAGTATTGTGAGATCAGTGTAATACCACTGTTATTATAAGTAGTAGTAATGATAAGTTTATATTTGTATAGCCATAAATGAGTATGGGGGCCTTATCGTCCATAATCCCAGATTGTGCTGCACAGATATAGTCTTATGGCGCTTTAGGTGATCGAGGAGGGGTATAATAAGCCGCTCCCGTTACAGAAAACGTACCAGCTGTTCATTATATAAAGGACCAGGTGTTATTATTATAGAAAATATCATTAGAAGCAACAACGTTCTGTTTCCCTTGTAGAACGCTTATGGTGAGCCGAGAGACGGTGAGTGTGTCAGCCCCACCTGAACACTGGCATGTAAACTGCTTCCTGCCATATTACCTCCAGGGTGAAATGTCTAAGAATATTTCTCATGATATTATGTAAGCTGAGAATATGTCGGCCTTTTTCTTACGGCTTTACAGTATTTCCAGCAAGGAGAGAGTTGCAGTAATATACGACCTCATTGCTCAAGTCTAGAACATTTCCAGGATTGGGAAAATTCTAGTCAGTATTTTCAACATTATTATTTCATGCCAGATGATCTGAAGGTTTTATAATCAAACTCTCGTGAGAAATAACGGAGAGTCATTTTTGTATAACGTAGATGTGGTCTTGAATGACTCGAGGCAAGAATAAAATATTTGCCTTGCGTGGCGTAAATGATTAATGTACGGAGTCATGCACAATGTAGCCTAGTTAGGTAAGTAATCCAATACTTCGCAAAATTTGACTAAAGCGAACATACGCTCTCCAAAGTTCACGTAGCATTCTTCACCTGACATTCTGCATGATACGGGGCACTTTTGTGCCCCAGGGGTAGTCAATGACACTGGAAATTGAATTTAAAAAATATACTTTGTAGAGGCAACATTCTTCGTTATTCCCGAAGGAAGCTTTTGCAAGCGGCGTGACAGCGTCTCTCAACAGTCAGGTGATGAAGGGTATTGTTGCTGTCGGCGGCGGCTCACAAAATTGTGGGGGAAAAGAGCCAGCGTCCCCTTGAATGTTCGTCAATTGACCTCAACACCGACTCGTTTTGCACTCCCAGGTTCCAAGTATTCATCAGTTGATTGCAACATCTACTCGTCTTGCAGTTCAGGGTTCCAATTTCCTCTGTCATGTACTAGGAAAACGATTATGCATAGAGTCAGCAGAGTGCGTGTTTTAACTTGGGCGTTGCGAAGTAAGCTTTTATTTGGATTACAGAGGCTTGAGGCTGTAATCCCTGGAGCCTGTTAGCCTAGTCTCCCCCACTCAGCTGGTCTGAGCTGTGGAGTTTGCAGCTTTGTGAGGCACTCAGGGGAATTATTCCCAGAGTAACTGCCGCGTCCCGAATCATTCAGTAACTGTCATGATCGGAACCATTCCCAGAGTAACTGTTGTGTTCCATAACCTCTCGGTGTGTACACAGCTAGTTGTGCTTGAGGGGGTTGAGAGCTTGAGCTCTTTGGTCCCGCCTCTCAACTGTCAGTCAACCGGTCGCCGTACAGCTTCTTGAGCCTTTTGGACTCTGTCATATCTACATTTGAAAGTGTGTATGGAGTCTGCCTCCACAACATCACTTCCTAACGCATTCCATTTGTTAACTACTCTGATACTAGAAAAACTCTACGACTGTGTGGGTGGAGGGCAGTGTATTTTGTGCAGTTTACAAGCATGGAAACTTGCTAATTAAGTCAGCCTGTCAATTTTGCGAGCCGCTGTGATTTAAAGTACTTCATATTTTTGCCGTTGGGAGAGTTACACGTCAAAAGTATATATGTACTATTCGAGTGGACAGGTTCTGTTACTATATAGAACAGGATAAAATTATGCACAAGACAGTTCGACAAAGTTCGTTTTCCGATTATAAAAATCGTATAGTGTGTATACCGCTTAGCTAGGATGTATTAACCTAGTTTAGGCTATGTTAGGCTCGGTTGGGTTAGGTTAGAGTGGGTAAAGTTAGGTACGTTTTAAAACGTGTGGCGAACCGTCTTGCGTACGATGTGATACGTTCAAATACGTTTATTGATACAATAAAACACATCTCAAAGGGATTGAGTAGCTTAGGCTATTTCTACCCTCCCCCCCTGTGATGTGAAGGGTATCCAACTTTACTGGCAAATTCGAATGGAACCCGTTTGACAATAAGACGGTTGCCGCCAAGAGGTTTGATGAAGTCTTTTAATGAGACCAACTTGATACGTCTCCCAATTACCATCTCCTAAGTTTTTGATCTTCAGTGCTCAACATGGGAGGGACTTGTCATTTCATTTCAGTAGTTAAAGGTGGGTTGTAATGAACGCTGCTCGACAGTGCGACGTATCTTAGGAAGATTACCCACCAGTCTTGCACAAGATCCACAATATAACGCGGTGTCTTAAGGAGCACTTTAATCCTATGTGAAGTATTCTCAGATCACCGAGATGTATTGGGGCAGCCGAGGATGATCCTCATTGCTTTGTTTTGCATCTTGTCAAGTCTCCACTACACAGGTATCTCTATCATGGACTATATACACCGAGTAGTCAAGGCACGAATTTATTGATTCGCCAAGCATACGATATCTTGCTTATTCCGGTAAGAGAAAGAATAGGTTGTTTTGCAGTAGTTACCCAGTGTATTGTTTATGTATCATCCTTACATATCATCCTTACATATCATCCTTACCCAAGTCACTGGTGGAGGTGACATTGACCCTAGCTTAAGGCTTCCAACAGTCCGGTCGTCCATTCCATCAATCAACCAGGAGACCTAGCCAGAGACCGAATCGTGGGAGGGAGTTGCGGGAAAGGGCGGATTTGATTGATTCCCGAAACCATCTCAAGGTATCATAACTCAAGGGGACGGGCTGGCTGGTTGGTCAGTAAACTGGTGTGGTGATCTTAATTAATAACTCTTCCGAGGTTGATTGGCCTTCAACTCCACAATAACAACAGCACCACCAAACGTCAAAATCTATCCTATCCTAAAAGGGGTTAACTCAACTCTCAACTCTCTATCCATAAAGGGGTTGAGAGAGCACGTAACGAACGCTTGCCAAAGCCAGTGGACAGACTGCCGCCATGGCTCCGTCCGCTGGTGTAGACATGGGTGTGGTCTCCAGCGTGGGCCTTGCAAGACGTCAATGTCTTCTCTCCTGTCCCCGGTCACCGTCTATGGTTCATTAGGGACGTAGATGCTGTCTGGTGGAGTGAGGTACCTGGCTATCTGGTGGAGTGAGGTACCTGGCTATCTGGTGGGGCTGCTGGCTGTCTGATGGAGTGAGGTACCTGGCTATCTGGTGGAGTGAGGTACCTGGCTATCTGGTGGGGCTGCTGGCTGTCTGGTGGAGTGAGGTACCTGGCTATCTGGTGGAGTGAGGTACCTGGCTATCTGGTGGAGTGAGGTACCTGGCTATCTGGTGGAGTGAGGTACCTGGCTATCTGGTGGAGTGAGGCACCTGGCTATCTGGTGGAGTGGGGTACCTGGCTATCTGGTGGAGTGAGGCACCTGGCTATCTGGTGGAGTGAGGTACCTGGCTATCTGGTGGAGTGAGGTACCTGGCTATCTGGTGGAGTGAGGTACCTGGCTATCTGGTGGAGTGAGGTACCTGGCTATCTGGTGGAGTGAGGCACCTGGCTATCTGGTGGAGTGAGGTACCTGGCTATCTGGTGGAGTGAGGCACCTGGCTATCTGGTGGAGTGAGGCACCTGGCTATCTGGTGGAGTGAGGTACCTGGCTATCTGGTGGAGTGAGGCACCTGGCTATCTGGTGGAGTGAGGTACCTGGCTATCTGGTGGAGTGAGGCACCTGGCTATCTGGTGGAGTGAGGTACCTGGCTATCTGGTGGAGTGAGGTACCTGGCTATCTGGTGGAGTGAGGTACCTGGCTATCTGGTGGAGTGAGGTACCTGGCTATCTAGTGGGGCTGCTGGCTGTCTGGTGGAGTGAGGTACCTGGCTATCTGGTGAAGAGAGGTACCTGGCTATCTGGTGGAGTGAGGTACCTGGCTATCTAGTGGGGCTGCTGGCTGTCTGGTGAAGAGACGGAGTTCAAAACAAATGCCTTCAGCACTACGGTATCTATAGAGAAAACATCCGATTCAAACCTTCAATCCTCCGGTTCCATCGTGGTGAAGAGACGGAGTTCAAAACAAATGCCTTCAGCACTACGGTACCCAGAGGAAAAAAAACATCCGATTCAAACCTTCAATCCTCCGGTTCCATCGTTCTAGATTAGGAATGGGATTGTCATCTAACCGGTATTTGAGAGTTGAAGTGATTGGCATAGTTGTCAGGTAATTATGAACGAGTTAGACTCCTTAGGTGAAGCATGAATAATAATGTATTATCCAAGGTGAGTAAGAGGGAGTAAGTGAGTGGGTGGGTGGCGAGGGGCCAGCGGCGACCTCCCGCCCGCTGGCCAAAGGGTGAATGAGGAGTGAGCTTTAAAGGGGAGAGATGGGGAGCCGTGGTCGGTGGTACCACCCACCCACCACCTTGCTCCTCCTGCCCCGCCGCCCACGGCTCCTCTATGGTGGTACCTGCTGCTGGGGGGGTAC